GTTGGTACCTATATTTTTTATATTTTACATTTTGGTACCTAAAATTTTTTATTATGACATTTTAGTACCAAAACTTTTCAAATTTTACATTTTGGTCCAAACCTTGGATGTCATTTGGATTCATGGATCAATCCACCAATCCATGAATCCACCAATCCATTAGATACAATCCATTTGATCCATGGATCCACCAATCCAATCCACGAATCCGATCCAATTGCCACCTCTAATATAGGGTTAACCCGCACCCGACCCTACCATTTTCATCCCTATTGGTGGGCTAGTTTTCCGGCTATAAATTTCGCATTATTATTCATACTTTCGGACCCAAGAATGTTTTAATTTGAGGCCAAGCTATATAGAATTATAATATGGGTCAGACTCAGAACCTTTTTTTAAACTAGCTTATAACCCGGCCCATTGGCCGCAATGTTCATATTTGATTATTTATATTTTTATGTTACATTTAAGCCAATCAATCGGTTTAATTTTATTGACCATCCTTCGATCGAGATGATACATAAAGAAAGAATATATAGGTCTAACATTCGGAGAAATACTATCATCATTTAAGAATATAAAATATAAAATGTATAATTAATTCCATTTTCATAATGTTAATTAAGCCCTCGTTAAAATGTTATTGGTTAGTTGGTTTTCAAGAAAGAGGGTATAAAAGATCAGTGAAATTCCACACGACCCATAAATAGTTTGAAACTAAATCTAAATCTCACAATCCTACATAAGGGTTTAATGCGCTCCTTTTATGAACAATATGCCACTAATAAAAAAGAAATAGAGAGTTGTTGATTCAAGTCAACTATATACTAACAACTAAGCTAAGGGAGGACCATCAAAACTTGAGAGCAAACGACAAAATTAGGGTTATCTCCAACACACTAATAGACTCAATCAAAGTAATAAGGCACAAAATTAGACACTCCTTGTCTATCAGTTCCAGTAGGTTGAATAAAGAATCGACCTACTTCAATAAATCAATCAATGATTCCTCGTTTTAAGATAAAAATATGTTGTAATAGATGTAAAAACCATAAACATAAGATCCAATAGCCACCACTCTTCCTTGTACAGCCAAAACTTTTTATTATCTCAAGAGACATATTTTCAACCAAAAATTCAATTTCGAATCCTCCTTCTGCAACTCCATTATTTATTAAACTCTTTTACTTTTCCAACTTAAATCCGCAAGAATAAAACTGACGTGCCAAGATATATCGGATGATTGATTTTCAAAGGCGACCTTGTATTGGAAAGTGAAAGGGGCGCAAACTATTGTACGTTGGAGGGAATTTCCTAGGAAGTTAGAAAGAGATAAGAACAAAGATAAAACCACAAATTTAAATTGAAAAATGCAAGGACGCAACACGTAGTGACAAAATTAGTTTTTTTCCATGTTAGCCAATTGCCAATTTACCTTTAGCAAAAATTAAGGAGAGAGAAAGAATTTTAAAATTTAGAAAATTACACGAAACTCTACTATGAAAATTGAAGTATCAAGCACCATAAAAATACATACGGTATACTTAGTGGGCTTGCTAATCATGATGGAAAGTCCTGTGATTTTCAGAGAGTTGAACTTCGTGTATATTTTGTATTCAAAAAGACACAACAAATTTGTTTAGCATAAATGGTTGTGATTGTTGTCTTTGTTTGAAGAGACCCGGGTTCGAATCTTGATATTGATATTTTTTATGTGAGATAAATAATTAATTGTAAAGACAAAAATGTCCTTCTTACTTTCACTCTCGTTGCTGCAGGAAATTTGAAATGAAAAAAAGTACACAAAAGTGTACTATATATTATTGGGGGATGCAGGAGAGAGGGGTCAGCTTCAGTAATTTCTCTCGTTTTCCTATCATTTTTCTGGGTTGCAGTAAAATGTGTATATATATTTTCAATATGTAACTTTATTAAATTAAATATAGACATATATCGATCCCATATAGTCCAAACAGAAGATCCAAAACTGCCAAAAGGAGAGAGGGGAAGAGTGACATGAGTGTTCTCTGATCCTTATTCAATGAAACAGTCCCAGAGACCCAGACCAAGAAATGCCTACCCACTACCCTTTCCTCTTCCACGAGAAAGAAAATAAAAAACAAATATTAATTAATACGTATATTTCTACGTACTGATCATGTTCATATACGTACTACCAACTAGCATGGTTTTATACGTTTATTATATGTAGTTATATACATACACTAACATTAATGACATCCATCATGAAACCGTAGAAGCCTAGAATGGAGTCAGAATTAGAAACCCTCTAAATTTCCCCATCCCTAACACCAAAAATTGGGTGAAAACTCAGTATGTATTTTAAAGAGTAATAATTTTAAGGTTGGTCGAAAAATGAGAAGATATATAGTTCGTTGTTTAGGATGACTGTGATTAATTTAATGGAAGCATGATTTGAAATTATTCCGAATGTTAGATATTTTTCAAAGTGCAATAGATTTTTCAAATACCTGGAAGGCAGAATTAATAATCGGCCGCGGGAAATGGTAGAGGAGCTCAACTTAAGATTCCACCGACAGTGTGTCGAGAAAGGATGTGAATTGTCGAATGCGATGATTGGACAAAGTAGATTTGGTATGACTTTTCCATAGCGGTCGTGGCAAACGGTTAAGGGGGACAACTTAGGATTTCGCCGACAATGTTTCGATAATGGCTGTGAATTGGTGGGCGAATCAGCAGAAATAGATGAAAACTCGATGAATAATAGCTGTCACGGAGAAACCAGAGAACAACAACTAATATATGAACATCTCTGTTTAATAACAAGTTTGGTATGCATCAGTCATATAACATTGAAAATGTAGTGATGTCATATTTGATATTTTTGGTTGATTACATGATATATATACCATTGAAAATGTAGCGATGTTAGATTTGATATTTTCAGTTGATTACATATTATGTATACTATGCATTCTTGTTGTTTGAGTTGGTTGAGACGATAAATTCACATAAAGAACACTTTCACATTATATAGATAATAATCATGTATTGCTTCCATAGCATAGTGGTAGTGCGTTCGCTTCGTAAGCGAAAGGTCGTGAGTTCAATCCTCACTGGGAGCATTTTGACAATATTCAAATTTTTCGTATATAAAAAGAACTCACATGACAATATTCATATTTTTAGTTTATAAAAAGAACTCACATGAAAAGGTATAAGATTCGAATATGATCATCAATGATTCTATTTCTTTTGTAAAGTAATACCAAATATTGGTTTTTTCCAAATTCGAGAGTTCACTAAGGTGATCTAACACTTTAATCGTTTGGACTACAATCTTGTTGGCATACAATCCTCACTAGAAGCTATTTGGACAAGATTCATATTTTTTCAGTGATAAAAAGAACTCACATGAAAAAGGTATAAGATTCAAATATGATTATCAATGGTTCCATTATTTTTAGTAATGTACCACAAAATATTCATTCTTTCCAAATCTGTGGCTTCACTAAGTTTATCTAATACCTTAACCGCATTTCGACAATATTCAAATTTTTCGTTTATAAAAAGAACTCACATGACAATATTCATATTTTTCGTTTATAAAAAGAAATCACATGAAAAGGTATAAGATTCGATTATGATCATCAATGATTCTATTTCTTTTGTAAAGTAATACCAAATATTGTTCTTTCCAAATCCGAGACTTCACTAAGGTGATCTAACACCTTAATCGTTTGGACTACAATCTTGTTGGCATACAATCCTCACTAGAAGCTGTTTGGACAAGCTTCATATTTTTTTCAGTTATAATAAGAACTCACATGGAAAAGGTATAAGATTCAAATATGATTATCAATGGTTTCATTTCTTGAGTCATGTACCACAAAATATTCATTCTTTCCAAATCTGAGGCTTCACTAAGTTGATCTAATACCTTAACCGCTTGGACTATAATTTTATTGGCAATGATTATTATAAGTATTCATTACAAACACTTCATTTACGTTGATTCAGAATGCTGATGAAGGTGAAGTTTGTAGTAACAATTGTAATAACATCTAAGTATTTCCAAATACAAATATACAGTGATATTTTGACATTCATATGAGCTTGTGGATCTGTCACTCTACATGACTATATTCATATTTTTCATTTATAAGAAGAACTAAGATGAAAATGTATAAGATTCGAATATGATCATCAATGATTCTATTTCTTTTGTAAAGTAATACCAAATATTGGTTCTTTCCAAATCCGAGACTTCACTAAGGTGATCTAACACCTTAATTGTTTGGACTACAATCTTGTTGCCATACAATCCTCACTAGAAGCTATTTGGACAAGATTCATATGTTTTTCACTTATAAAAAGAACTCACATGGAAAAGGTATAAGATTCAAATATGATTATCAATGGTTCAATTTTTTGAGTAATGTACCACAAAATATTCATTCTTTCCAAATCCGAGGCTTCACTAAGTTGATCTAATACCTTAACCGCTTGGACAAAAATTTTATTGGCAATGATTATTATAAGTATTCATTACAAACACTTCATCTATGTTGATTCAGAATGCCGATGAAGGTGAAGTTTGTAGTAACAATTGTAATAACATCTAAGTATTTCCAAATACAAATATACAGTGATATTTTGACATTCATATGAGCTTGTGGATCTGCCACTCTACATGACTATATTCATATTTTTTGTTTATAAAAAGAACTCACATGAAAAGGTATAAGATTCGAACATGATCATCAATGATTCTATTTTTTATAAAGTAATACCAAATATTGGTTCTTTCCAAATCCGAGACTTCACTAAGGTGATCTAACACCTTAATCGTTTGGACTACAATCTTGTTGGCATACAATCCTCACTAGAAGCTATTTGGACAAGATTCATATTTTTATCACTTATATAAAGAACTCACATGGAAAAGGTTTAAGATTCAAATATGTCCCAATGGACCAATTAAACCATGGTGGTTCATCTGGTTTTATATATATTGAGCCTTGAAAAGTCGTTTAGTCCATCAATAATCGTCCGAACAATGAATCAAACCGCTATCATAACCGGTATGACGGTTCTACTGGTGCAGTCGTTGATGCGATTCGGTTCTTATAACAATTTTTATAGTGATAATCAGCTTTGCAGTTCTTTATACTACAATCAAGATCGGCTTTTTTGTCTCCTCCCTTTCAATAAGCTTTTGTTACAAGGTCAATCTCATAAATTATGTCTCTTAAACCGACTCTATCCACAAGGCGCATTTAATTTGAACGACCTTTTTCAGCAAATATTCGTCTTTCATGCTTTGAGCAGCAGAAAAACGATTAAAGGAACTACAAGCATTATATAACCCTTATTTTTGGTCCGGCTTTTAGAAGTGATTTTCGGGTTCAAAAGCTCAAGCAGACACCTGTAAAAACTCGGCTTTTGAAAAGCCGAAAAGCGCTTTTGTATAACATAAAAGCATAAGCTCCGATTTGGAGCTTCTGCGAAAAGTTATTTTGAAAATACAAGATTATTCTTACCATATTTTAATTCTATTTCAGAAAATATAATTTTCCTTCATTTATATCATTTTAAAAATAAAATAAATTATAAAATCATATTATATAATATAAAAGAAATCTAACAAGATCCATTTTGACTACTTTTTATTGTTTATAATTTTTATTCATATTTTATATTATAAGTCCTTTATAATCATTTTACACAACCTCTTATATTAAAAGCACTTCTAATAGTTTTACAGCCAAACACTCAACTGCTGTTTTTTAAAAGTACTTATCTAAAAGCTCCAGCCACAAAAGGTACAACAGAGCCAAACTAAGCTAACAATAATACATATGATGATTATTTCCTTCCAAATTTGCAACGAGAATAATGTAGGACTACTCATTTCGTCTCGTACTTAATTAAAAGTCACTAGCACAAAAACTATTGTGCGTTGAGCTGTCTAACTAAAGGTCCCTAAACAGATTGTATCCTTCAACTTCACTGTCGGAGTTCAAAACTAGCTAGTTAATCACTGAAAGTGCAGGACTATTTTACCACATATTCCTTAATAAACCAACTACTGGAACGTGCACATAATCGGTCTTCTACTATACTTTAAAGTATTGATGGTTTAAAGTATAATTTAAAGTTGTACCTAAATACCTAAAGAAATTTGACTTTTATGTTGTGGTACAACTTCAAATTATATCATAACATAAATATACAATTTTAGTTTGTATCATAAATGAATTTTACAAAATAGTATAGGTACAACCTAAAATTCTACCATAACGTTAAATGTACAACTTCAAGTTGCACCATAAAGTAGACAAAAACTAAAACCCCAATACCTTAAAGCATTGTAAAATTCCTCATTCGTAGAAGCTAAATAGAAATACATAATTTTATTTTGCAACCAAATAAATACATCATAAATCGGAATACACCTGCTATAAACAACTTTAATAATTGCTTTGATTTTATTGTTTATTGTTTTTCATCTTTCCAAGAATTTCCACCAACATAACTAATGAACAAATAAATAACGCCACACATACACCGTAAAATAAGAAAAAGAACTTACAGATCAATGAGAAACCCTATCTCATAAATTATAATCTCACCCCACCCCCAAAAAGATACTAATGAATCACAAATAAAACAGAAACCCAAATGGCCCCGAGAAAGAAACAAAGAATCTAACACATGTTAATGAATGAAAAAGGCTTTCAAATATATATATATAATTAAGGAACCGGAGAATATATAGAAATGAATTCACAGGTCCACTTATTAAAAAACGCTGTTAATTTAATTTAATAATCATAGCAATAATAATAGTAGTAGTGAGTGATCACCACACCAGTTATATGATCAGCCGTCGGATCTTCGTTTCTCGACTTCCCCATGATCCGTTATCCCGGACGACATGTAACTGAGCGCCAAGGAATTCTCATCCGGCGGCGGCGGCGGCGTCGTGGCCTGAAGGTTGTGCCTGCAGGTGGCGCAGGTGAAGTGGTGGATCATCTGGTTGACGGCGTGTTGTTTGAGAGCGTGGGCCTTGTCCAGCTCAGCCTGGGCCCGCTGGCGTATCCTCTTGGCGTTGGTGAACTCTTCCTCCGCCAGCTGGATCTGCCGCTTCGCCTCTGTCCTCACCTCCTCCGCGTACGCCTTCTCCGCCATCGCCACCCTCATCTCCGCACTGTGGATCCGGTTCGATTCGGAGGACGACCCAACCGACAGCTGGAGGTCGAGATTGTGGAAGGAGTGGGAAGTTGGAGTAGCCGTTATCGTACTGCTCATCAACATGATCCCCCTGCCGCCGCTACCACGGTGGTCGGATGTGGACGGTGCCGATGGAGGCGGCGGAGGAGGGGGTTGCTGGCTGAGCCTGAGGTGATGTTGTTGTTGTGATGGACGTGTTGGGCCGATCATGGGCCATGGCGCGGCGGTTTCGCTGGAGGGGCTGGGGCTGGATCCTGTCCGAGACAGGCAGGCAGTTTGCTGTTGTTGTTGTTGGTGGTGGTGGTGCAAGTTGGGCGGAGAATGCGTCTGCCGGCCCATGCTGCAAGCGTCCTGATGCTCTATGAAACTCTCCACCCTGCGAGTTTAGCAAAAGAAGAATGCGTTTTCCGGTTTGGCCGAATCTATGAAACAGTATGCAGCCAAATGTCGCTGCCGCCATATGGATATGGTTAGAAAGAAGGGAGCCTTCTAGGTAGCTATAGCATGTATTATAGGGCAAAGGACAGTAGGATGATGTGCAACAGATCGGAATGTGTATTACTATACTACATGGTATGACGACAGTATGTGTAAGAAATAAGAATGTTTGTAACCCGGTTGGTGTCGTTATTGAAGGAGAGTGAGGGGATGGGAGTGAAAAACAATAGGGTAAGCAATTAAGATCGATGAAGGAGAGATGAGCTCAACCCATTTAATTTAATTTAAAAAAAGGGGGAAAACAAATATATGGTTTGTTTATTGGCATGGCAGGGGAGAATAAAACCATGTTATATATATACTTTGCTGATAACACAGACACTCAAAAGCTTATAGCTAGCTTTAATGCTCTTTTCAGAAGCGGCGAAAGGCAAGAAGGGGTACCTGGAGAAGACTCGGCCGCAGTCGCAGGAGTGGCCGCGGGTGCCGCAAGTCTTGAGGTGGGCTTTGTAGTCGGACTGGACGGCGTATCCCTTGGAGCACTTGTCGCACACCCACTGCCTGGTGTTGCTGTGCTTCCTCCTGAAGTGCTTCTTGATCCCCACCAGGTCGCCCAGGGCGTGGCAGGGGTCGTGGTGCAGGCAGCTCGGCTCCGGGCAGACGAACACCCGCTTCCTGATCACCACGGACGTCTCCCTCTTGAGCAGCTTCCAGGGGACCTTGTGGCGCCTGCGGTGCATCTGCAGGTTCTGGTCCCGCTGGAAACCTTGGTTGCAGATCTCGCACACGTACCTGTCCGACTCCATCAGCGTCCGCGGCGACAGCGACACCACCTCCGCATCTGGATCTGCCAACACACAATTCAATAAAATTACATATTGAAATTCAGCAAGGATGAATGATTGAGGGAGTGAGACGGGTGGATGTCTGGGAGGGAGGTACCTGGAGTGCCGGCGGGGCGGCGCTTGCGCTTGTTGGTGGTGGCGGTGGGAGCGGTGGCGGTTTCATTTTCTAAGGAGGAGGGAGGGGAAGATGAGGATAAGTTGGGGAACATAGTTTGTTTGTTATGGAATGGAATGGAATGGAATGGAATGGAATGGAACACTAGTGGACTGGTGGGTAACTATAGTACTAGCTAGCTAGAAGGAAAAGTAGTGATTCCAATCTTTATCTTTTTTGCTTCTTCTTTTTATGTGATGAACCTAGCTAGAAGTTGAAGTCACTGTGCTGTGGGCTTCTTCTAGAGTAATCATGGAATTGGAAACCAAGAGAGAGAGAGAGAGATGGAAATGGAAATGGAGATCAGCTTTGGGTGTTGAGTGTTGATGCTTCTGGGTCTTGGTCCTTGGCTTTCGGTCGATGAGGTGCAGCTTTTGTTGTGGAAGGAAAGAAAGAGGAGTACTGGGAAAAAGGGAAAGAAAGGGGTTTCCTAATTTCTTTTTCTGAGCTTTTCAATTCAGCAAAGAGCTACTCCTTTCTTTTTTGGGTGATGAGTTTCTGTGTGTGATCTCATGATACTGGTTCATTTCATCACACAAGGGAGAGAGAGAGAGAGAGAGAGAGAGAGAGAGAGAGGGTGAGGGTAAGAGAGAAGGAGAATTGCATTGAAAGCAGCTTGGAACCCACAGGAGGGGGAAATATATGGTGGCTGAGAAAGGTAAGGAAGGAAGAAGAAGAACTTGTCATCATCTTCATCCCTCTCTATCACTACTCACAAACAAACAAAACGCTCTTATAACTATTCACTTTTCTTTCTTTGGTAAACATGAAGTTAAATGTTAACTTCATCTCCCCGCTTACCTTCATTTTTTACCCTCTCCAATTTTTCTGCGTACAAAAGTCTAGAAAACAAAAGAACAAGAACCAAATAATAATACACGTAATTATTTTGTGGGTTTGAAACGGGGGAAAAATATTGAGTCTATATCCGCACAATCTATGTCTTGCCATTGTCCTCGGAAAATTCCGCCTACCTACTCTCTATAGTGGAAATATTCACTTCAATGATAAATAAATAAAAAATGTTGAAGATATATATGACAAAAGCTATCATTTAGTAGGACGGTAAGGTAGTCGTTGGTATTACATTTTCGCAATGCTACTATAACAAGGTTGCAAAATCATACCGTAGATTGTACATAAAAAAAGCAATAAAGTATTTTATTTTGAAATCATGGTTCAACAGTTTTGTTTCGTCAAAAAATTACCTACCACTTTAGATTCTAATAGAAGATTTCTTAGTCGAACTGTCAATACGGTACGATTTTGTATGCAACAAAATTTAAGTAGTCATTACTATTTAAAAATAATCTTTAATGTAACAAATGATATCTACCTTGAAATAATTTCTACCAAAGACCCTAAATACAATGAGCGATAATAAGTTTTTCACATTATCCATATGGCCCATGAGGCATGAGTGGTGGCAATCAAATTGAGCATAATTCAAACAACTCTAAAGAAAACGAAGCATGGTGATTTCATTCCCCACCCCACCAATCAAATAATGCATTGACAAGAGGAGTGGTTTATTTTAAACAAAATTGTTAATCGGAGATTATGGCGCTATCTGGGGAAAAAATTAGGGTTAATATTTTCATATGGCCTGAACTTGATCAAAATAAACATTCTGGCCAATCTTTTCGATCTATAACATCCTGGCCCGAACTATACACCAAAATAAACAATTTGGCCAAACCCGAATTTTGACCGTTAACTTGGACGGTCAAACGCGTTGACCGTTAGTCAACGCGCCATGTCACTGCCAAGTCAGCATAAAATATTTAAAATAATTCACAATTTCCACACATTCCCTAATTTTAAATTATTATAAATTAAAAAAAATCATCTAATACCTTAGTTAAACCAAAAATAAAAAACGAAAAAAATTAAATATTTATCAGATTTTCTGACTTGGCAGTGACATGGCGCGTTGACTGTTAGTCAACGCGTTTGACCGTCCAAGTTAACGGTCAAACATCGGGTTTGGCCAAACTGTTTATTTTGATGTATAGTTCGGGCTAGGATGTTATAGATCGAAAAGATTGGCCAGGATGTTTATTTTGGTCAAAGTTTAGGCCATACGAAAATATTAACCCAAAATATTATGCATAAAATGATGAGATTAAAAGTTCATACAATCAGAAAATAATACATTTCTAATTAAGTATACCAATAAATTCCAAGAATTAATTTGTTTTGAAGGGTTGATTAGTCTCTCTAAAATGATTATGAAAAGTCCCAATTGTATTAATGGTGAAAAATAAAAACCAACCATAATAAGGAAGGGAAGATATCAAATATTGTTATTTTAATGAAGTCATTGGGGGGTGTTTGGTAAATAGAGATAGATGGCTGGCTAGGAAAGTGGAAATTATTACACTGAGGTGAAGAAGCAGCTTTTTGCAAAGGTGTTCTCTTTTCTGATGGCCGGGTGGTAAGTCACCCTCGTCTTGACAAATTGGTCAACTCCAAAACTTGTCTCTCTAAGAAAAGTTCCTTTTACAGGTAAGAAAAGAAGGGGGAAAGGAACAAGAAAGAAAGGCATAACAATATATATATATATGTATATGATGAAGATTGATATTCTTCATAAATATAGTATACTGATAAATATAGTATACTGATTTAATCGTTAGATGTATTTTGTTGAGTTCCAATGAATCTTAACGGTTAATTATTATTTTCAATTAAATCAAATTTCAGGTTCGAGTTAAAAATTGGGGCATGAGGTTTATCCATTAAAATTAGGATATAATACCATACTTCAAACTCGGTTTCATTCATGATATAGATATATAATTAAATTTACCTGCAATATCGTATACTCCAGGAGTAAACTAGTCTGATCTATATATATAAGAATTGAAGTAAAGAAGTTTGATTTTAGCATATATTCTTTCTTGGGTAAGACTTGTTTTGATCCTACGGTCTGCGTGCAACCCCCAGTTAAAAAATAAAAGGAATTGACAACGACTACATTCATGGAGATGCCTCTTGGTAAGGGTTTGTTGATTGTTCTCTATAGCACCACACTCTAGATAATTTACAAACAATAATTTTAGCAAAAAAAAAAAAAAAAAAAAAAATTTGAATGAGAGGGAACTTATTTGAACTGAGATAATGGGGAGGGAATTAAAATTTATAAATTACTTTATTTTCTGATTTGTCACAAATTCTATTGGTAATTTTATTTATATTTTAAGTACGAGCTTCAACCTAGTTCTGTTACTGATTCTAGAAATAATTATATTTCCAAATTAACCAAATGATATTCTTGTTATTTCCACCTGGGATGACACGCTTCATCTTTCATATAAGAAATATGCCTTTGAATATTTTATACAATCGTGAACTTCCATAGTAGAGTGACGAAATTCTCTAACATATCTTTTGGTATAAATGAATTCCATAAGTTATGAGAAATTTATTTTGAAATGAATTTTTTTTTGTTTCGTATTTAAAAGAATTCATTTTCAATTCTAAATTTTGAATCCTACGGAATTAGAACTAGTTATAGCAATTCCGAGGAATTGAGATGGAATTTGCAAATAAATTCCACAAGCATTTACTAATTATAATAAAATGACATAATTATCCTTATTTATTAACGAAATTACTTCTACATATATTATTTGGCGCCAATTGATACAGTATGAGAAACGTCACCAAGAATTTGATTGCAATGCTAGTAGCATATGCTAGTAATTTTATATTTTTGCTTCGATTGTATCAGTACTTTGAGAAGGCACAACTAGATTGTAGGGTTCATCGATGAAATATTAGAAAAGAACTAATTAATAGAATAGAAAGACACAAGACAACTTTTGATATTCTACGTATGGGACCAAAGACGTTTTTATAGAAGATGAATTTTCAATGAATATTATTTTTTCCGAAAAGTAATAAGGGTGTTGTTTGAGCCTGACTGGGTGTAGGAGTGAGACTCGTGAAGATGGGTCAAGGAGAGTAAGCAATGGGATAATAAACGTAGAGGGAAGAACTGGGGAAATTACGAATAGAGTTGAGAGGGAAGTATTTTAGAGAGAGAAGTTGATAATCTTAGAGATAGAGTCCCAAAAATCCGATCCCCCTCACCCGTTCAGTTGGTTGACTGCAAGCGAGGAGTCGGAAAGTATCCTTATTGTTCTTGCGTCCAATTCGTGGGCGGCAGTCATTCCTGCCAAGATGGCCTCGTACTCGGCCGCGTTATTCGTCTTCAACGCTCTGAATCTGATTGCTATCTCGTGAACGACGCCTGTGGGTGTGCGCACGACGACCCCCGCGCCAGCACCATGTTTACTTGCCGCTCCGTCGACATAAACCTCCCATACCCCCCTCTGGTGTTGTTTCGAGGGTGACTCCTTCAGCGATGAAGTCCGCTAGGATTTGGGCTTTTATTGCTGGTCTCGGCGCATATTGGATATCGTACTCTGAGAGTTCGACCGCCCATTTCACCATGCGCCCTGATACTTCCATCGAAGTTAGGATTTTCTTTAGTGGGAGGTTGGTCAGGACAGTGATCTGGTGCGCTTGGAAATAGGGACGCAACTTCTGCGACGCGCTCACTAATGCCAGGGCCGCTTTCTCTATTGAGGAGTATCTTGTTTCCGCGCTGACTAGCGTGCGTGAAGTATAATACACAGGTTGCTCGGTATTATCCTTTCTTCTGGATATCAGGACTGCACTCACAGCTCTCGTCGACATGGCCAGATAAAGGAATAATTTTTCATTAAGCTTGGGGGCTGTCAACACAGGAGGGGATACAAGATATGCCTTCAGCTCTTGGAATACTGCTTCACATTCTTTGGTCCATGCAAACTTTGCGCCGCTTTTGAGTGTTTTGAAGAAGGGCGTGCACTTGTCGGCTGGGATGAATCTCCCCAGCACTGCTATTTTCCCATTCAGGGATTGGATTTCCAATGCGCTCCTCGGTGCCCGCAGTTGTTGGACCGCCGTGATTTGTTTTGGGTCAACTTCGATGCCGCGCTTGGTTATCATGAACCCCAAAAATTTCCCTGCTTCGGCTCCAAAGACGCACTTCAGTGGGTTCAAGCGGAGGCTGTGTTTGCGGAGCGCCTCGAATGTCTCTCGCAGGTCCTCTAGATGCGAGCTGCCGGCCTTGGTCTTGACGATGAGGTCATCCACATACGACTCGATGTTCTGCCCCCTCTGTTGTGAGAACACTGAATCGATCATCCTTTGATATGTCGCACCCGCGTTCTTCAGTCCGAACGGCATTCCGACGAAATAGAAGTTTACGAAGGAAGTCATGAACGCCGTCTTTTCTTCGTCTTCGCGCGACATTGGGATTTGGTGGTATCCTGAGAACATGTCCAAGAAAGACAGTGTCTCGTGGTCGGCAGTGGCGTCGATCAGTTGGTCAATGCGCGGCAAGGGGTAAGTGTCTCCCGGGCATACCTTGTTGATTGTTGTGTAGTCGACGCACATCCGCCAAGCCCCTGAAGACTTTTTCACCAGGACCACATTTGCCAACCACTTCGGATATTTGACCGGGCGGATCAACCTTGCCGCCAACAGTCACGCCACCTCCTCTTCGATGGCCTTCAGTTTGTCGCTAGTAAAGCCGGGTCGCACTTGTTGCCTCGGAGGCGCGCTGGGTGGGACTGTGAGGCAATGTTGGGCTACATGCCTTGGTACCCCCGACATGTCTTCTGTGCACCAGGCAAATAGCTCCTTGTATTCCTTCAATAGCGCTATCAGCGGCTCAATCGCGTCGTCGCGGACGTGAGTCGAGATGCGTATTTTTCTAGTCGGCTCGGTTGGGTCGAGCGCGACCTCGAAATCGGAGTCCATTGATTCCAGACGGGGCTCCTCTGGCCTTGTGTCGACAATATTGGTTTGCCGGGCCTCTCCTTCTAGCTTCGGGG